GACATGAGACAAAGTATATGTGAACTGCTGTATGAAAAGTGAATTTACTCTGTAAATCTTCACCCAAATCCTAAAAAAAAAAAAAGAGTTGATTGTGGAACAGACCATCAACTGCTCATATGCTCGTTCAAGTTGAAGTTAAAAACAATCAAAACAAGTCCATGAGAGCCAAAATATGACCTTGATAATATCCCTCTTGAATTTAGAGACCATTTTGACTCATAGCGACTCTAGTAAAAATGAACAATTGAATATTCGATCAGTGACATAAATATAATTAATTCAATTGGTATTAGTTGAAATCTTAAAATTTCCAAGTTCTTTCTTATTTCCAAATCAGATAACTGTACTATAAAAAATAATGAAAATGGGAAATGAGAAGAAAACCTAAAAAAGTATTTTCAATCCAGTCTTTAGAACTATTCTTTAAATAATAAAAGAATAGCAGTAAATGGCTACAGTGAGAATCTAGTCAGTTAATCCATAAACAAATTAAACAATAGTATGTATTTATCATCAGGCATGACATTCATAAACACTTGGTTCTAAACAAAATACTAAGCAGACCAGTGGTCTCAAAATCCAGTAATTGGTTTAATCCCTTCATGTGTTCCATTGTTGATCTGCTTGAAAATAAAAGCACTCTGTGGACAAAATTTTATTTATTTAATCTTTTGTTCTTGTTATTATCAGAAAACTGACAAAATCCTAAAATATAAAGTATTGTGCTGTGACATCAGTTAACTTATTTACATACTGCTGATACTTTATTTTGTTAGGATACTATAGGAGTAAGAAAACTTTCCATAAAGAAAGTAAGAATATAGAAAGGGGGAAAGGAAGAGAAGGAGATGAGGAAGGGAGGAAATCTGTGTTTAGACAAAAGGCAAAGCACAAGCACGCTGATTCATATAAATTTATATAACAAAGCATGGTTATTACACAATGACTTGGTCTTTATAGCAAACTTTTAGATGTTAAAACAATAATACTCATTGAATAATCATAATAGCAACAAGAAAACCCAAGTTTACAAGAAGAAAGGAACAGTATCAGAAAGACCTAAAGCCAATAATGTTTTGTTTTGTTTTGTTCTGTTTTCTCTAAAATGTTCCTTTGATAGCATAAATTCTGAAGTATAAATCTATGGGAGGAATAGCAACAGGTTGTCGGGAATGATAAAGTTACTATATTTATTTTACAACTCTTTCTCCTATAACAAGTTAGATTTCTAAATGAAAATAAACTTTTCATACTTGACTATTCATGAAGTCATGTCCAGAATAGCAGATTTAATCATGAACAGTAAATGTCATATTTACATTCTTCCTTACCAATAATGTTATACTTCTTAGTACAAAAATGAAATACAATGTATTATTCTTTCTTAAAAAATAAAAACTATTGACCCTTGCTTTGACATTCATAATATTGTTTAACCATTTTTGTTTTTATTTAAAAAATGCTATGATCTTTGCCTAATGGAAGTCTCAAGATAATGAAAAATTAAATAGTTCAATATCAATAATACAGATATATGTTGATTACAACTCACCTAACACGCTGACAAAAGCATCAAAAAGATGAAATGTAAGCAGAGGCTCTTTCAAGTGACCATAGTAATCAGCTATAGTTTTAAAGACATCTTTTTCAAATCCTGAGTACATAGGCTGCTTTAAATCTGAACAATTAGGCCCTATTTGGAAAGAAAAAAAAAAAAGGGAGAGAGAGAAACATTAGTTGGACAATTATTTATAAGTATTTGTTTGCATGCATGTATGCAGTATGTACAGATATTCAAAATTAAAAATATTTTCAGGGAGGAAAATGACATTATATAAAACACTTACACAAAAATGCTTTATGGCTAAACTAAAATTATCTATACATATACAGAAATATCTACAAATCTAATATTTCTTATATGTCCTTCAGAAAGGCATTTTTATTCAAGGTAAACGATTTATTTACTTTGAAATACTCAGTATTTCTCAGTCTTGATACATTTAGTCAAAATAACAATTAGTTCAAAAATTCAATAGACAAGATATAAACAAATTTTCAAAGAAGCTTTTTATTATTTTATCATTGCTGGATTATACAATCCTAGAGCTACAGAATTGAATAAAATAATCAATTTGTAACTAAACTACTTCAGACTAGTAAAAATTTATACTTTTAAAAAACACATCCTAACAAGATTGCATTTTGTCTTGTTAATTCATTCTAAATAAGAAAATATTGAATGATGCAGGAAACATCAAAAGAAGATGGAAGGAATACACAGAGTCCTTGAACCAAAAAGAACAGGTCAAAATTCAACCATTTCAGGAGGTAGCATATGATCAAGAGCAAAAAGGATTAAAGGAAGAAGTCTACACTGCACTGAAGGCACGGGTGAAAAACAAGCCTCTTGGATTTGAAGGAATACCAGTTCAGATGTTTCAACAAACAGATGCAATGCTGGAAGCACACAATTGTGTATACTAAGAAATTTGGAAGACAGCTACCTGGCCAACTGATTGGAAAAAATCCATATTTGTGCCCACTCCAAAGAAAGGTGATCCAAGATAATGGGGAAATTATCAAACAATATCATTAATATAACATGAAAGTAACATTTTGCTGAAGATAATTCAACAGTGGTTGTACATTGACAAGGAACTGCCAGAAACTCAAGTCAGGTTCAGAAGAGGACATGGAATGAGGGCTACCACTGCTGATGTTAGATGGATCATAGGCAGAAAGCAGAGAATACCAGAAAGATGTTTATCTGTGTTTTGTTGACTATGCAAAGGCACTTGACTATGTAAATCATAACACATGGATAACCTTAAGAAAAACAGGAATTCCAGAACATTTTAATTATTCTGTGCAAAGAATTCATACACAGACCAAGAGACAGTCACTTAAACAGAACAAGGGGATTCTGTATGGTTTAAAATCAGAAAGAAAAGGCATATATCAGGGTTGTACCATTGATAACTATAATCATTCAATCTGTATGTGGGCAAATAATCCAAGAAGTTGGACTATATGAAGAAAAATGAGGCATCAGGACTGGAGTAAGACTCATTAACAACCTACAATATGCAGATGACACAACATTGCTTGCTGAAAGTGAGAAGGACTTGAAGCACTTACTTATGAAGATCAAAGGTTACATACAGCTTTCATTATGATTTTCACCTCAATATAAAGAAAATAAAAGTCCTCACAACTGGACCAATAAGCAGCATCACAATAAATGGAGAAAAGATTTAAGTTGTCAAGGATTTCATCTTACTTGTATCTACAAACACCACCCATGCAAGCAGCAGTCAAGAAATCAAACAGCATACTTCGTTGGGCAAATCTGATGCAAAAGATCTCTTTAAAGTGTTAAAAAGCAAAGGTGTCACTTTAAGGACTAAGGTGTGCCTGGACCCAAGCCATGGTATTTTCAGTACCCTTGTATGTATGTCAAATGAATAAGGAAGCCAAAAGAAAAAAAAGGAAGAAGAAGAATTGATGCATTTGGATAACAGTTTTGGCAAAGAGTATTGAATATACCATAAACTGCCAGAAAAATGAACAAATCTGTTTTAGAAGGAGCAGAAGACAGAGTATTCCTTAGAAACGTGGATGGTAAGATTTCATCTCACGTAGTTTGGACATGTTATCAGGAGGGACTTGTCCCAGGAAAAGGACATTATGTTTAGTAAAGTAGAGGGTCAGAGGGAAAGATGAAGGCCCTCAACAAAATGGATTGATGCAGTGGCTGAAACAATGGGCTCAAATACAGCAATGATTTTGAGGATGACTCAGGACTGGACACTGTTTTGTTCTGTTGTTATACATAAGGTCACTATCAGAACCAACTTGATGGTACCTAACAATAAAAGAAACTATTTGATGCCCGGCCAACAACTGAAAGATAGGGTAACAAGCAGGGCTATAGTGCAAAGTTGAAGCAAGGATAGGAACCAGGGAAGAGCCTGCACCCATCATATAGTATGTCAGTACAAGGCAAAGATCCACATAGATATGGAGACAAAAGGGAACAAGAGATGTTACGTTCTCTACAGAGTTGGAAGCAAATGACCCCAACAATTCATATACAGACCACAGCTTTACACTGACAAGTTGAGAGATGAACTAGAACTGCCTATGCCTTGAGAAAATGGCAAGTGGTCCTATGAGGAACAATTTAGCTGGCCTTCTTATTTCCATTACAGAATGGGAAAAATAAAGTATATGACTGCATCAGCCAATTCCAAACTAAGCAGGAACATAAGACTAAACAAACATACCCAAATAGACCTCCATCCCCAAGAGAATTGCCAAAGGGACAGGAGGCTGCATCTTCTGACCTCCTCTAACACCAAAAGAGGAAGACAGAGTCACCATCCATAGCCCAAGGCCTATCCTTGAAAGGCCACACATGCCGCCTCCCTCCAACCCTTTTGCCAACCTTTCCTCCCTCAGCACCCACCACCTCTCTGCTGGGTTTGGTAATTTACTGCAGTGGTCACACAGAACTCACAGATTATGGAGTTTATTAAGGCAGCACCAGGCTACAATTCAAGTTCAGGAAAAATGCTCAGTCTCTCTCAGCCTGCCATCTCTCAGCCAGCAGTCTCTCTTAGCCACTCTCCCAGCAATGCATGTCTCTCAGTGTCTCTTTCTCAGCAGCACGTATCTCTCAGGAGCGCATGTCTCTCAGCAGCATGTTTTTCTCACCCAGCAGTCAGACAGACTCCTTTTGCCTCTAGAAGTGCTCCTTTTGAGCCTTGTAGAGTGACTACACCAACCAATCATTACAGTAGAATTCTAAGCACCTGAGAGAGAGTGAACTTCCCAGAATATTGCTTTGTGCCATTCTAAACAGAAATACCCCAGATGAATAACTTTAACAATCAAAAGCTCTTCAGTTGCTCACAGCAAATTCCACCATGGAGTTTACAAAGATTATGGCTAGAAAAGCCATACCAAGTAATTTACTTCATCATAAGAATAAAACAAGAAGCCTTGAAAAATTTAAATTGTTCCTACAGAATCACTAGAACTAAAGAGAGAGAATTAAGCTTAAAGGGATAGTTAAAAAAAAGATTCTGTAATGGACTTTACATTTCAAAGCAACTGGGACATGAAAAATAGGTTTTGCTGGCTCCTTGAAAACTTTTTCTTACCTTTTAATTTTGTACCATTCTTAAAAGATAACAATTTAGATCATCCAGGAGTAAGATGGCGGAATAGGCAGACAAGCTACACAGACCCTCTTCAACAAAGAAAAGATAGACCAATTGACAGAGATGCAGAACACAAACCTGGAGCCCTGAGCTTTGAAAGCAAGTATACAGAAGTGGATTGGGCACTAGTGGAAACACCTGAATGAAAACAGTGAGTATGGAGATGGATGGAGATGTGAACTGTCAGCTACTCTTATGGCACCGACACCCTGAATATTTCCAAGTGGTGTTGGGACCTGAGAATTGACCTAAAGATCAGCCCAGCTTGCCAAGGGCTGCAGGAATGACTACACTGGTCACCTGTGAATAGGAAGGGAAACAGCAAGGAAGGAGACAACCTGAGCTGTGAACTATTGACTGTGCCGGAGGGCACAACCATTTTGATTGTTTACAAGTGGCAGTGATTTTGGATATTTAAAGTGACCGATGGTGCAGCCATTTTGAATGTTTACAAGTGGTAGCCATTTTGGATATTTAAAGTGACAGCATTCTCACTTGGATTCCAGGGACCTAAAAATTGGCTTCATTTACCAAGAACAACAGGGACATATGGTAGGCTGACAATGGAAAAGGAGATAAGATAGTGAGTGTACAAGTGCTGTCAACTAGTGAATAGAGGAGCACAGTACCTTGTTTACATATATAACATCCAAACAAAACAAAGAACAAAAAAATGGTGGGCAAGTCACTCCAACATACAATCACCAATTAAACATAAACACAAAAAGTCACAATGTCATGGAGACAACAGAGGATCACAGTCCACACAAAGAAACAAGATAAAGGAAGTAAAACAAGGGACCAGGATACAGACCCAGAACACATCCCTGAGTAAGAAGCAACACTGGAACACCCTGATAAGAAATTCAAAAAAATATATATTTAGCTACCTTCAATGAATTGAGAGATAGATCAAAGGAAACACTGAAAAACTTGAGGGAAACAGAGAAAACTCTAGAACAATATCTGAAGAAAATACAGGCAGGAAGAAAATGACAAAATAAATGAAAAATTAGAAATGATACAAAATCTACAGATAGAAATCCAGAAGAATATTGAATTTTCAGAAATAGATAACACATTGAATGGGCAAAGGAGTAGAACTGAATAAATGGAAGACAGAATTAATGAGACTGAAGACAAGTACCTCAATACTTCTTTGGAAAGGGATCAATCAGAAAAAAGGTCAAAACAAAATGAAGGTCACTCCAATAGATGGAGGAATGGGCAAACTACACAGACTCTCTTCAGCAAAGAAAAGGGGAACTCATTAATACAGAAGATAATCACAGAGCTTTGAGTTTTGAAAGGCAGGACACAGAAGTGGATTAAATGTCAACTAGTAGAAGAACCTGCACAAAAACACCGAAAAAGGAGACGTACGAAGTGGCAGTCTGTCAGCAATCCTGACGGCAAGGATAGCTTGGATATTGCCAACTGGTGTTAGAACCTAAGAATTAACCTA